TCTAAAGAGGAAGAGTGATCAATATATTCCTCAGTAGCCTGCTAGTACTAATGTAACCACAGTCTAGAGGAAGAGAGATCAATATATTCCTCAGTAGCCTGCCAGTACTAATGTAACCACAGTCTAGAGAGGAAGAGAGATCAATATATTCCTCAGTAGCCTGCCAGTACTAATGTAACCACAGTCTAGAGGAAGAGAGATCAATATATTCCTCAGTAGCCTGCCAGTACTAATGTAACCACAGTCTAGAGGAAGAGAGATCAATATATTCCTCAGTAGCCTGCCAGTACTAAGTAACCACAGTCTAAAGAGGAAGAGAGATCAATATATTCCTCAGTAGCCTGCCAGTACTAATGTAACCACAGTCTAGAGGAAGAGAGATCAATATATTCCTCAGTAGCCTGCCAGTACTAATGTAACCACAGTCTAAAGAGGAAGAGAGATCAATATATTCATCAGTAGCCTGCTAGTACTAATGTAACCACAGTCTAGAGGAAGAGAAATCAATATATTCCTCAGTAGCCTGCCAGTACTAATGTAACCACAGTCTAGAGAGGAAGAGAGATCAATATATTCCTCAGTAGCCTGCTAGTACTAATGTAACCACAGTCTAAAGAGGAAGAGAGATCAATATATTCATCAGTAGCCTGCTAGTACTAATGTAACCACAGTCTAGAGGAAGAGAAATCAATATATTCCTCAGTAGCCGGCCAGTACTAATGTAACCACAGTCTAGAGAGGAAGAGAGATCAATATATTCCTCAGTAGCCTGCCAGTACTAATGTAACCACAGTCTAGAGGAAGAGAGATCAATATATTCATCAGTAGCCTGCTAGTACTAATGTAACCACAGTCTAAAGAGGAAGAGAGATCAATATATTCATCAGTAGCCTGCTAGTACTAATGTAACCACAGTCTAGAGGAAGAGAAATCAATATATTCCTCAGTAGCCTGCCAGTACTAATGTAACCACAGTCTAGATAGGAAGAGAGATCAATATATTCCTCAGTAGCCTGACAGTACTAATGCGCCTCAGTTTTAGCTACTTTATGGTCTACATTTTTAACGAGGGATTAGTTTTGAAAGATTCCGGGAACTTTGAATAAATTCCCTGGTTTTCCTGAAATCCCGGTTGGTTGTTTCCCGGAATCAGGAGGGAATAAACAGGACATCTGGAATCTTCCAACCAGGACACTAATAATTAAATGACTCCTCCAACCAGGACACTAATAATGAAATGAATCCTCCAACCAGGACACTAGTAATGAAATGACTCCTCCAACCAGGACACTAGTAATGAAATGAATCCTCCAACCAGGACACTAGTAATGAAATGACTCCTCCAACCAGGACACTAGTAATGAAATGACTCCTCCAACCAGGACACTAGTAATGAAATGAATCCTCCAACCAGGACACTAGTAATGAAATGACTCCTCCAACCAGGACACTAGTAATGAAATGACTCCTCCAACCAGGACACTAATAATTAAATGACTCCTCCAACCAGGACACTAGTAATGAAATGACTCCTCCAACCAGGACACTAGTAATGAAATGAGTCCTCCAACCAGGACACTAGTAATGAAATGAATCCTCCAACCAGGACACTAATAATGAAATGAATCCTCCAACCAGGACACTAGTAATGAAATGACTCCTCCAACCAGGACACTAGTAATGAAATGAATCCTCCAACCAGGACACTAGTAATGAAATGACTCCTCCAACCAGGACACAAGTAATGAAATGACTCCTCCAACCAGGACACTAGTAATGAAATGAATCCTCCAACCAGGACACTAGTAATGAAATGACTCCTCCAACCAGGACACTAGTAATGAAATGACTCCTCCAACCAGGACACTAATAATTAAATGACTCCTCCAACCAGGACACTAGTAATGAAATGACTCCTCCAACCAGGACACTAGTAATGAAATGAATCCTCCAACCAGGACACTAGTAATGAAATGACTCTTCCAACCAGGACACTAATAATTAAATGACTCCTCCAACCAGGACACTAATAATGAAATGACTCCTCCAACCAGGACACTAGTAATGAAATTAATCCTCCAACCAGGACACTAGTAATGAAATTAATCCTCCAACCAGGACACTAGTATTGAAATTAATCCTCCAACCAGGACACTAGTAATGAAATTAATCCTCCAACCAGGACACTAGTAATGAAATTAATCCTCCAACCAGGACACTAGTAATGAAATTAATCCTCCAACCAGGACACTAGTAATGAAATTAATCCTCCAACCAGGACACTAGTAATGAAATGACTCCTCCAACCAGGACACTAATAATGAAATGACTCCTCCAACCAGGACACTAGTAATGAAATGACTCCTCCAACCAGGACACCAGTAATGAAATGAATCCTCCAACCAGGACACCAGTAATGAAATGAATCCTCCAACCAGGACACTAGTAATGAAATGAATCCTCCAACCAGGACACCAGTAATGAAATGAATCCTCCAACCAGGACACTAGTAATGAGATGAATCCTCCAACCAGGACACTAGTAATGAGAGAGACAAATGAAGGATCCACAGGATGGTGATGATGGGACAGAGCCTTTCTCCCCACATTATGAACTACTGGAATATTGTGGACTGGACACCCCTCCCTCTCTCTCGTTACTCTGTTGTTTCTCTCTCACTCTCTCTCTCTCTCTCTCTCCTCTCCTCACATCTGCTCTCCTTTCGTCTCCTCTCCTCTTCGCTCACGCTTTCTCTATATCCTTCACTCTCTATTGCTTTCTGTCTCTCTAGTCAGGCATATTAGAATCTCACAGGAAATGGTGACTCGTCAGTAGTGTTTCTCTATCGCTCTCTCTCTGTCTCGATAGTACTTCGTCTATCTAGATCTCTGTCTCTCCTGTCTCTCGGTTCTCTCCAACTCACGGGTCTCGAAGAAGTGGGAGAAACGCGAGAAGGAATGAGGATGCAAAGAATATCCATAGTTATAGAAGTATATATAGAGATATCTATATTAGATATATATCATAACTATATATAGTCTATGCTGTATGCTCTCTCTATCTATCTGAGACTACAACGACTATCTATCTATATCAAATACGCATAATAGCATCTCTATCTCATATATCTCTAATCTGATATCTCTTCTTCTTCTCTCGTCTCTCTGTTCTCTATCTCTCTCGCTCTCTCGCTCTCTCTGTCTCTCCCTCTCCTCCCGTCTCTCTCTCTCTCTCTCTCTCTCTCTCCTCCCTCTCTCTCTCTCTTCTCCATCTGTCCTCTCCACCAGAGATGCCACAAGTGACTATGGGTCATCAGTGTTTTCCCTCACAGGCTTGGTCAGATCAACTGATGTTAAGACCTGATTAGGAAAGGGAGCAGGATGGAGAGAGGAGGGGAGAGGGAGGAGCGACAAGAGGGGAGAGAGAGGGAGGATGGAGGACGATGGAGAGAGGAGGGAAGATGGAAGAGAGAGAAGGATGGAGAGAGAAGGCAGGCTAGGGAAGGGAGGAGAGAGGGAGGTTGATCTAAAACACTGTTAACAGGGAGGGAGGTTGATCTAAAACACTGTGTTTACAGAGGGAGGGAGGTTGATCTAAAACACTGTTAACAGGGGGAGGGAGGTTGATCTAAAACACTGTTAACAGGGAGGGAGGTTGATCTAAAACACTGTGTTTACAGATGGAGGGAGGTTGATCTAAAACACTGTTAACGGGGAGGGAGGTTGATCTAAAACACTGTTAACAGGGAGGGAGGTTGATCTAAAGCACTGTTAACAGGGGGAGGGAGGTTGATCTAAAACACTGTGTTAACAGCAGGACGGAGGTTGATCTAAAACACTGTGTTTACAGATGGAGGGAGGTTGATCTAAAACACTGTGTTTACAGATGGAGGGAGGTTGATCTAAAACACTGTGTTTACAGATGGAGGGAGGTTGATCTAAAACACTGTGTTTACAGATGGAGGGAGGTTGATCTAAAACACTGTGTTTACAGATGGAGGGAGGTTGATCTAAAACACTGTGTTTACAGAGTGAGGGAGGTTGATCTAAAACACTGTGTTTACAGATGGAGGGAGGTTGATCTAAAACACTGTGTTTACAGATGGAGGGAGGTTGATCTAAAACACTGTGTTTACAGAGGGAGGGAGGTTGATCTAAAACACTGTGTTTACAGATGGAGGGAGGTTGATCTAAAACACTGTGTTTACAGAGGGAGGGAGGTTTGATCTAAAACACTGTGTTTACAGAGGGAGGGAGGTTGATCTAAAACACTGTGTTTACAGAGGGAGGGAGGTTGATCTAAAACACTGTGTTTACAGAGGGAGGGAGGTTGATCTAAAACACTGTGTTTACAGAGGGAGGGAGGATGATCTAAAACACTGTGTTTACAGTAGGACGGGAGGTTGATCTAAAACAATGTGTGTTACAGAGGGAGGGAGGTTGATCTAAAACACTGTGTTTACAGAGGGAGGGAGGATGATCTAAAACACTGTGTTTACAGAGGGAGGGAGGTTGAACTAAAACACTGTGTTTACAGAGGGAGGGAGGATGATCTAAAACACTGTGTTTACAGAGGGAGGGAGGTTGAACTAAAACACTGTGTTAACAGTGGAGTGATACAAGGTGGGATGTCTCCAGTGGGTCCCTCCTTTATCATCCAGTGGCTGCCTGTTACAGTGAAGCCACAATCGGTGGTGAGTCTGCTGTGGTTACTGGAGCAACAACCAACAACCCACAACCTTGTAAATACATGTCCTGTTTTTAGGTTAAATAGCGGTCATTGATTAGGAAGCTGGGGATAGCTTGTTCTGTTTCAAATCAAGTGTTAGGGCTGCCGTTGCAATGATGCTGATCAAGTCTGTTAAACAATGCTTCTGTTGTTCCTGTCGTTCTCCTGTCATTGGTTGATCCTGGGCGTTATTTTTATATCTCTGATCGTCCCCTCCCTCTTTCTCCCCATCCCTCTCTCTCTCTCCCTCTCTCTCTCCCTCTCTCACAGGTGTCCAACCTACCTTCATCACCTCCACCACCACCTCAGGCCTGCAGTCTCCCTCTCTCCCCCCTCTCACCCCTTTCTCTCCCCCCTGGAAGAGGACAACACATTGGTCTGGAGAGTTGGTCCACCTCTACACCCTACCCCAGACCACCCTAGTCCCAACCAGACTCCAAACCCACATCATTCCACTCCACCCCTCCCCAAACAGACGAGGGGGAGAGAGGAGCTTCGCCCCCCTCATCCCCTCCCTCCCTCCCTCCCTCTCTCTCTCTCCCTCCCAACATGCACCCTCAGGACCTGAATGTAAGACCCATGGTGCAGTCCATCCCAAGATTGAAACCTTAAACCATTCCAGTTGTACTCCACTGAGTATTGAAGTAAAGCTAAATGTTCTGATGTGTATGAGTGAAACTGGGCTGGAGGAGCAGTGACCGGACAGAAGAGAACAGGATGTGACCTCAGCATCAGCCCACCTCACTTCCTGTCCATCTCAACCATTAGAAAGACTGGATCACAGGCCTCAAATTCAATCAATCAATCAAACTTTATTTATAAAGCCCTTTTTACAACAACATTTCTCACAAAGTGCTTTACAGGATTAACCTTAATAAACCTAGTTTTTGACTTTCAAAGAGCAGGCAGGGGCACAGTGGCAAGGGAAAACCTCCTTACCTCTGACCTGTGTCTGGGCTTGGCTGCTTGTTGGATCCAGACAGTAGTATTGAATCTAGAGGAGGCTTCCACTGACGGTAGCTAGCGCGTCAGCTTCTATTAGGTTCGAGTAGGTTCGAGTATGTTCTAGTATGTTCTATTAGGTTCAAGTATGTTCTGTTAGGTTCTAATATGTTCTATTAGGTTCCAGTATGTTCTGTTAGGTTCCAGTATGTTCTATTAGGTTCTAGTATGTTCTATTAGGTTCCAGTATGTTCCTATTAGGTTCTAGTAGGCTCTACTAGGCTCTACCAGGCTGTCTCTGGCCCTGTGCTGTGGCCTCCTGGCCTGTGGCCCTCCTCTCTGGCTCCAGCCTTGGGCGAGGCCCCCGGTTCTCCCCCCTCTCCTGCCCGACCTCCACCATTCGCCCCTCCCTCGCCACTGCCGTCCTCCCCCCCCGCCCCCGCCCCCACCCCCACCCCCACCCCCACCCCCACCCTTCCTCCCCCTCCCATCACCACCATCACCCCCCACACCACCACTCTCCCCATCATCACCATCATCCCCACCCCTCTCACCACCAGTCCCCTCCTCCCACCTCCCCCTCCTCCCCTGTGGTCACCATGACGACCACCCCCACTGCTCGTGAACACCTCCTGGTGGTGAGGAGGCGCAACCCCCACATGCGCTACACCTCAGCCCCGAAAGCCTGCGCTCCCTCTCAGCCCAGGGCGGCGATGGGGTGGGCCCAAGGGGTCACGGGGGGGAAAGGTCAGCTGGTGAAAGGTCAGGGGTCGGAGGTCATGGAGAGGGTCATGGCGGCGGGCTACAAAGGGCCAATAGCGACACGGACCTGGTGACCTCGGAGAGCAGGTCATCGCTGACTGCGTCGACGTACGAGTTCACGATGGGGCGGGGCCAAAACCTGGTCATCAACTGGGACATCAAGGAGGAAGTGGACGCCACGGACTGGATCGGACTCTACCACATCGGTGAGACACGGGGGGAGGACTAGACCATCTTCATGGGAAGAAGGGGGAGGGGTTTTCCTTTATGATCCCATTCCCAGAAAGTGGGAAATTAATTTAGCTACCTTCACATTTTAAAAACACACAAATCAATCATAGAACAAGATCCTCAATGGAGACCAAGGATACATGTTTAGAACAGAGCAGCAGAGGATGTACAGTAGAGGGCTTCAGTACTGTAGGAATCACATGGCCATGTGGAAATGACTTCTAGCAGCTGAGATATCCAGTGTCAAGGTTAAGGGAATGAAGCTTAATACTGATGGACTGGGAGCTGAGGGAGAGAGGAAGAGAGGGGGGGAGAGAGGGGGGTAGAAGAGAAGAGAGGAGAGAAGAGGGGAGAGGGGGGGGAGAGAGGGGGGAGAGAGAGGGAGGGAGGGAGATAGAAGCGAGCGGGGGGAGCAGATGGGTGGGCGATCGGGGTAGGGAGGGCAGTTTCCCTGAGAGGGTGGCAAGGCTATTCTGGCGGTAAGAGAGGATTCAATCTTTCGGGAGGACGGGTCTATAGAGTGACAGCACTACGTCAGCATCACTGATAGTATAAGATCATTGTTCATACGTCCGCTCTCGCTCTCCTCTCCTCTTTCCCGTTCCTCTCCTCTCCTCCTCTCCTCTCCTCTCCTCCTCTCCTCTTCCCCTCCTCTCCTCTTCCCCTCCTCTCCTCTTCTTCCCTTCCTCTTCCTCTCCCTCTCTCCCCTTCTCCTCCTCTCACTCCTCCTTTTTCTCCTCCTCTCCCCTTCTCCTCCGCCCCCTCCCTCTTCCTCTTCCCCTCCTCCTCTCCTCCTCACATCGCTGTCTCTTTCCTTTTCTCACCCTGACGGTGAAGTTGAATTACTTATCCCTGATGCTGTGTGTGTGTCTTCAAATCAAATCAAATGTTATTTGTCACATGCACCGAATACAACAGGTGTAGACCATACAGTGAAATGCTTACTTACAAGCCCTTAACCAACAATGCAGTTTTAAGAAAAACAAGTGTTAAGTAAAAAATAGATAAGTAAAAAAAAATCATAATAATTAAAGAGCAGCAGTAAAATAACAGTAGCGAGGCTATATACAGGGGGTACCGGTACAGAGTCAATGTGCTGGGGCACAGGTTAGTTGAGGTAATTGAGGTAATATGTACATGTAGGTAGAGTTAAAGTGACTATGCATAAATAATAAACAGAGAGTAGCAGCAGCGTAAAAGAGGGGATTAGGGTGGGGGGGCAATGCAAATAGTCCAGGTAGCCATTTGATTAGCTGTTCAGGAGTCTTATGGCTTGGGGGTACAAACTGTTAAGAAGCCTTTTGGACCTAGACTTGGTGCTCCGGTACCGTTTGCCGTGCGGTAGCAGAGAGAACAGTCTATGACTAGGGTGGCTGGAGTCTTTGGCCATTTTTAGGGCCTTCCTCTGACACTGCCTGGTATAGAGGTCCTGGATGGCAGGAAGCTTGGCCCCGGTGATGTACTGGGCTGTACGCACTACCCTCTGTAGTGCCTTGCGGTCGGAGGCCAAGCAGTTGCCATAACAGGCAGTGATGCAACCAGTCAGGATGCTCTCGATGGTGCAGCTGTATAACTTTTTGAGGATCTGAGGACCCATGCCAAATCTTTTCAGTCTCCTGAAGGGGAATAGGCTTTGTCGTGCCCTCTTCACGACTGTCTTAGTGTGTTTGGACCATGATAGTTTGTTGGTGATGTGGACACCAAGGAACTTGAAGCTCTCAACCTGCTCCACTACAGCCCCGTCGATGAGAATGGGGGCGTGCTCAGTCCTCCTTTTCATGTAGTCCACGATCAGCTCCTTTGTCTTGATCACGTTGAGGTAGAGGTTGTTGTCCTGGCACCACACGGCCAGGTCTCTGACCTCCTCCCTATAGGCTGTCTCATCGTTGTCGGTGATCAGGCCTACCACTGTTGTGTCGTCTGCAAACTTAATGATGGTGTTGGAGTCGTGCTTGGCCATGCAGTCATGGGTGAACAGGGAGTACAGGAGGGGACTGAGCACGCACCCCTGAGGGGCCCCCATGTTGAGGGTCAGCGTAGCAGATGTGTTGTTACCTACCCTTACCACCTGGGGGTGGCCCATCAGGAAGTCCAGGATCCAGTTGTAGAGGGAGGTGTTTAGTCCCAGGGTCCTTAGCTTAGTGATGAGCTTTGAGGGCACTATGGTGTGCGTGTGCGAGTGTGTTTTGGGGGCACTACGTGATGAGCAGAGAGAAAAGTGCATGTGATGAATACACTGGACCACAGCCAGGCAGGCTGAGGTCATCGCAATAGCAAAGTGTTAAAGTGTCTGTGTGTCCTCTGCTGGAAAACTTTGTGGTTGTGAGCATATTGTGTGTGTACTAGCTATATGGGGTGAACTAGTCAGCACTCTGCACCTTCTGGATCTCTGCCTGGACTTCTGGACATCCTGGAGAGTAGTGAGTAGTGGTCTTCTGAATCTCTGCCTGGACTTCTGGACATCCTGGAGGGTAGTGAGTAGTGGTCTTCTGAATCTCTGCCTGGACTTCTGGACATCCTGGAGGGTAGTGAGTAGTGGTCTTCTGAATCTCTGCCTGGACTTCTGGACATCCTGGAGGGTAGTGAGTAGTGGTCTTCTGAATCTCTGCCTGGACTTCTGGACATCCTGGAGAGTAGTGAGTAGTGGTCTTCTGAATCTCTGCCTGGACTTCTGGACATCCTGGAGAGTAGTGAGTAGTGGTCTTCTGAATCTCTGCCTGGACTTCTGGACATCATGGAGAGTAGTGAGTAGTGGTCTTCTGAATCTCTGCCTGGACTTCTGGACATCCTGGAGAGTAGTGAGTAGTGGTCTTCTGAATCTCTGCCTGGACTTCTGGACATCATGGAGAGTAGTGAGTAGTGGTCTTCTGAATCTCTGCCTGGACTTCTGGACATCCTGGAGAGTAGTGAGTAGTGGTCTTCTGAATCTCTGCCTGGACTTCTGGACATCCTGGAGAGTAGTGAGTAGTGGTCTTCTGAATCTCTCCCTGGACTTCTGGACATCCTGGAGAGTAGTGAGTAGTGGTCTTCTGAATCTCTGCCTGGACTTCTGGACATCCTGGAGAGTAGTGAGTAGTGGTCTTCTGAATCTCTGCCTGGAATTCAGGACATCCTGGAGAGTAGTGAGTAGTGGTCTTCTGAATCTCTGCCTGGACTTCTGGACATCCTGGAGAGTAGTGAGTAGTGGTCTTCTGAATCTCTGCCTGGACTTCTGGACATCCTGGAGAGTAGTGAGTAGTGGTCTTCTGAATCTCTGCCTGGACTTCTGGACATCCTGGAGAGTAGTGAGTAGTGGTCTTCTGAATCTCTGCCTGGACTTCTGGACATCCTGGAGAGTAGTGAGTAGTGGTCTTCTGAATCTCTGCCTGGACTTCTGGACATCCTGGAGAGTAGTGAGTAGTGGTCTTCTGAATCTCTGCCTGGACTTCTGGACATCCTGGAGAGTAGTGAGTAGTGGTCTTCTGAATCTCTGCCTGGACTTCTGGACATCCTGGAGAGTAGTGAGTAGTGGTCTTCTGAATCTCTGCCTGGACTTCTGGACATCCTGGAGAGTAGTGAGTCAGCTTCAGTTCATTAATTATCTTCTCATTATCATCAACCTGCTATCAGACCGCACTTACTACCGGACACACACACACACACACACACATTCTGTACACTAAAGTGTCAGCAGCAGCCAGTAGAGAGAGTGGTGGCCAGTGAAAGGCGATCCATCCACTCTCTACACCAGGTTCTGTGTGTGGAGGTATTGACCGGGGCGGGGGAAAGACCTAAGATGTGTCCTCCAGAGAAATGCATCATTCTGGGCCTGGCCATGGGCCATCCATCCCCGCCCTGGAGCCAACACGGCTCCATTACCGGCACCTACCGTCTGCCCTGCCCTGCCTCCCCCCTCTTCCCCCTCCATCACCCCACCCCTCTCTTCCTCCCCTCCATCACCCCATCACCCTCTCCTCCATCCCCATCTCCTCTCTTCCTCCCCTCCATCACCCCATCCCCCATCCCCCTCTCCTCCATCACCCCATCCCCCTCTCTTCCTCTCGTCCATCCCCATCCCCCCCTTCCCCCCTCCATCACCCCATCCCCCCCTCTTCCTCTCCTCCATCACCCCATCCCCCATCCCCCTCTCCTCCATCCCCATCTCCCTCTCTTCCCCTCCATCACCCCTTCCCCCTCTCTTCCTCTCCTCCATCCCCATCTCCCTCTCTTCCTCTCCTCCATCCCCATCTCCCTCTCTTCCTCTCCTCCATCCCCATCCCCCTCTCTTCCTCCCTCCATCACCCCCCCATCCCCCTCTCTTCCTCTCCTCCATCCCCATCCCCCTCTCTTCCTCTCCTCCATCCCATCCCCCTCTCTTCCTCTCTTCCATCTCCCTCTCTTCCTCCCCTCCATCACCCCTTCCCCCTCTCTTCCTCTCCTCCATCCCCATCCCCATCCTCTCTTCCTCTCCTCCATCCCCATCCCCCTCTCTTCCCTCCTCCATCCCCATCCCCCTCTCTTCCTCTCCTCCATCCCCATCCCCCTCTCTTCCTCTCCTCCATCTCCCTCTCTTCCTCCCCTCCATCACCCCCTTCCCCCTCGTCTTCCTCTCCTCCATCCCCATCCCCCCTCTCTTTCCTCTCCTCCATCCCCTTCCCCCTCTCTTCCTCTCCTCCATCCCCATCCCCCTCTCTTCCTCTCCTCCATCCCCATCCCCCTCTCTTCCCTCTCCTCCATCCCCATCCCCCTCTCTTCCTCTCCTCCATCCCATCTCCCCTCTCTTCCTCTCCTCCATCCCCTTCCCCCCTCTCTTTCCTCTCCTCCATCCCATCTCCATCTCTTCCTCTCCTCCATCCCATCTCCCTCTCTTCCTCTCCATCCATCCCATCTCCCTCTCTTCCTCTCCTCCATCCCCATCCCCCTCTCTTCCTCTCCTCCATCCCATCTCCCTCTCTTCCTCTCCTCCATCCCCATCCCCCTCTCTTCCCCTCCTCCATCCCCATCCCCCTCTCTCTTCCTCTTCTCCTTTTCCACCTCTCCCTTGTTGAGCCTGAGGAGAAACCATAGGGTTTCCGTGTAACGGCATGGCACAAGTTACTTATTGTGACATCACCTGGGTTATTCATGAAATAAGCAGCCTCTGGGGAGGTAGAGTCATCATAGTGTTGGTGTGTCATCACAGTGGTCTCTGACTTGTGGTCAGACTCTCTCAGGTGGAGCAAACTTAAACCTGCACCTTTTTTCAATGCTGAATTGAATGTCATTTAGAAAGGTGTCATAATGTATTTGTTTTTCAGAAAACATCCTTTCTGAATTTAAAAGTAATCTAAGAAGTAATCATCTAGTTTTTCTAAAGTATCTGTAATCGGATTACAATAATTTTGCTGGTTAATGTAATTCATTACAGTTTTTTGTAATCTGATTACATGTACTCCCCAACCCTGTCTGTGTGTGACTTGTGACTGCTGTCACTTGCCACCCAGGCCTGGCTCCTGTCCAGACGTTATTGATTGTGACATGGTGTGAGTTGAGTTATGGCTCTGAGGGGAGACTTGGTGATAACACAGGAGACATATTCATCATGGTCATCTCTCTGTCACACACTGTCTGAGCGACAGATACACTACTACACACACCACAAACACACAAACACACAAACACACGCGCATGCACGCATCTCCGTCACACACTGTCTGAGTGACACATGGACTATGTCAGACGTTTGTCATCCTACACAGCTCAAAGACAACAGGAAAGTGACCATAGTGTCTGTAACAGATACTGTTACACTAGGTTACAGCATCAGCATCAGCTACCGTTACACTAGGTTACAGCATCAGCTACCGTTACACTAGGTTACAGCATCAGCTACCGTTACACTAGGTTACAGCATCAGCTACCGTTACACTAGGTTACAGCATCAGCTACCATTACACTAAGTTACAGCATCAGCTACCATTACACTAGGTTACAGCATCAGCTACTGTTACACTAGGTTACAGCATCAGATACCGTTACACTAGGTTACAGCATCAGCTACTGTTACACTAGGTTACAGCATCAGCTACCGTTACACTAGATTACAGCATCAGCTACCGTTACACTAGATTACAGCATCAGCTACCGTTACAATCGATTACAGCATCAGCTACTGTTACACTAGGTTACTGCATCAGCTACCGTTACACTAGGTTACAGCATCAGCTACCATTACACTAGGTTACAGCATCAGCTACCGTTACACTAGGTTACTGCATCAGCTACCGTTACACTAGGTTACAGCATCAGCTACCGTTACACTAGGTTACAGCATCAGCTACCGTTACACTAGGTTACAGCATCAGCTACCATTACACTTGGTTATAGCATCACCTACTGTTACACTAGATTACAGCATCAGCTACTGTTACACTAGATTACAGCATCAGCTACTGTTACACTAGGTTACAGCATCAACTACCGTTACACTAGGTTACAGTATCAGCTACCGTTACACTAGGTTACAGCATCAGCTACTGTTACACTAGGTTACAGCATCAGCTACCATTACACTTGGTTATAGCATCACCTACTGTTACACTAGATTACAGCATCAGCTACTGTTACACTAGATTACAGCATCAGCTACTGTTACACTAGGTTACAGCATCAACTACTGTTACACTAGGTTACAGTATCAGCTACCGTTACACTAGGTTACAGCATCAGCTACCGTTACACTAGGTTACAGCATCAGCTACCATTACACTAAGTTACAGCATCAGCTACCATTACACTAGGTTACAGCATCAGCTACTGTTACACTAGGTTACAGCATCAGATACCGTTACACTAGGTTACAGCATCAGCTACTGTTACACTAGGTTACAGCATCAGCTACCATTACACTAGATTATAGCATCAGCTACCGTTACACTAGATTACAACATCAGCTACCGTTACACTAGATTACAGCATCAGCTACTGTTACACTAGGTTACTGCATCAGCTACCGTTACAGCATCAGCTACCATTACACTAGGTTACAGCATCAGCTACCGTTACACTAGGTTACTGCATCAGCTACCGTTACACTAGGTTACAGCATCAACTACTGTTACACTAGGTTACAGCATCAGCTACCGTTAGACTAGGTTACAGCGTCAGCTACCATTACACTAGATTACAGCATCAGATACTGTTACACTAGGTTACAGCATCAGCTACCGTTACACTAGGTTACAGCATCAGCTACTGTTACACTAGGTTACAGCATCAGCTACCGTTACACTAGGTTACAGCATCAACTACCGTTACACTAGGTTACAGCATCAGATACTGTTACACTAGGTTACAGCATCAGATACCGTTACACTAGGTTACAGCATCAGATACCGTTAAACTAGGTTACAACATCAGCTACCGTTACACTAGGTTACAGCATCAGCTACCGTTACACTAGATTACAGCATCAGCTACCATTACACTAGATTACAGCATCAGCTACCGTTACACTAAATTACAGCATCAGCTACCGTTACACTAGATTACTGCATCTAGTGTATGGGTCAGTTGTGTTATGGCCTATGTCATCACTGTTACAGCCTATGTCAGTGATGCAACTGTGTGTGTCCCCTCCCCAGATGAGACGTGTCCTGCCAACGTGTGGGACTCTAAGAACCGCGGGGTGAACGGCACCCAGAGAGGACAGATCATCTGGATGCTGGAGCCTGGGCCTTACTTCATGGAGCGTGAGTATAGTGTGTGTGTTAATGTTTATGAAGGACTGTTTATGTGTGTTCAGGATGATTAGAACAATATAACTATTTTTCTTCGGTGTGTTTTGCTTCCTCAGCTGAGACTAAGATCAGCTTTAAGTACTACCATGGAGTGAGTGGTGCCTTGAGAGCAACAACCCCCTGCATCACCGTCAAGAACCCAGGAGTTCCTGTGAGTACTGTGTGTGTGTGTGTGTGTGTGTGTGTGTGTGTTTGTGTGTGTGTGTGTGTGTTTATGTTCATGAAGGAGTGGTTATGTATCAAGTAACTGTATAAAATATGGTGTAACTGTATCAAGGTCAAGCTTATCTGGTTGTTTAGAGAGAGAGAGAGAGAGAGAGAGAGAGAGAGAGAGAGAGAGGTGTGTGTGTGTGTATGTGTATACTGTGTATGTGTGTGTGTGTGTGTGTGTGTGTGTGTACAGTGGGGAGAATAAGTATTTGATACACTGCCGATTTTGCAGGTTTTCCTACTTACAAAGCATGTAGAGGTCTGTAATTTTTATCATAGGTACACTTCAACTGTGAGAGACGGAATCAGTTGGACTATATTAGATATCACTCTGAATGTGGCAGTTGGACTATATTAGATATCACTCTGAATGTGGCAGTTGGACTATATTAGATATCAATCTGAATGTGGCAGTTGGACTATATTAGATATCACTCTGAATGTGGCAGTTGGACTATATTATATAAATCTGAATGTGGCAGTTGGACTACATTAGTTTGAATAGATAAAGCAGGTATACATTTCCTGTCTCAATCTATCTTGCTCCATCTCCATATTTTTCTCTCCTTTCCTCTCTCCCTTCCTCCCCCCCCTCTCTCCACCCCCTCCATCCCTCCCCCTCTCTCTCTCTCCCTCCACCCCCCCTCCATTCTACTCTCCACTCCTCTCTCTCCCCCCTGCCCCCTGCCCCCTCTCTCTCTCTCCTCTACCCCCTCTCCCTCCCTCCATCCCTTTCCCCCTTCTCCTTCTCCCTCCACCCCTCGCCCTCCCTCCCTCCCTCAGTAATACCAGCTGGGACAAATTAATTTGATATGAAATTCAGAGCGTTAATCCTCCAATCGGAGGGAGCGTCTGGCAGGCAGCCATGTTGGTTTTATGACAGGATCTGACAGATGACCAGATGCCCAGTCCACCTGATCTGCTCTACATCTCTACAGTCCTACATCTCTCACTCTGACCCACCTATATATCACTCTCCAACAGATCTCAGTGTTACACTGTGCTGTACTGCTCTGTGTTAAACTGGATATTGATTATATCTTTTCCAGTCTTGACCCTCAACCATACGTCTCATGTCTGTGGTATTATACTATCCTATACTAACTGCTCATCTCTCATTGGTTCAGTTCCCATCACAGCTCATCTCCCATTGGTTGTTTCCTTGCCAGGTTAGAGCTGAGGGTCAAGCTGAGGGCCAATCAGTGACAGAGAACTGTCGGAAACTCGTCAGCTTCACTTTATCAGGTCAGTTATTGTTGATTGGAAGCTTGTCTCACTCAACTCTGGTCTGGTGTGATCTGCACTGCCTCCCTGTGGTTGAGATGTGTTACTGCACATTACCTCCGGTTAGGCACTCCATGACCTGAGTTACCTACCTACCCCTGGTATACATTATGAAGTTGTGCTTTCTCTGTAGATATCCTAATGTGTTTAAAATATATGTATTATTTCATTATTCTGTGTATGTGGTATAAGTCCACAGCGCTAATATGTGTATCTGTGTAGATATCCATGAGCTTTATATATTTACAGTATATTTACGGTATACATGGGATGTGTGTCTTTCTCTATAGATATCCGTGCATTGGGTCTGAAGAAGGGGATGTTCTTTAACCCTGACCCCTACCTGAAGATGTCCATCCACCCTGGGAAGAGGAGTGGCTTCCCTACCTTCACACACCACGGACAGGAGAGACGCTCCGCCATCATATCTAACACGACCAACCCTGTCTGGCCCGGAGAGGTCTCACTCTTAAACACACACACACACACACACACACACACACACACACACACACACACACACACACACACACACACACACATATCCAGGCACAAACGCTAGAGCACAAACACACACACACAGACTCATATATATATATATACACTGTAAAATAATGCTTTACAATTCTCTCTCTCTCTCTGTCAGAAGTACACGTTTGTGGCTCTGATGACAGATGTCTTGGAGATCGAGGTAAAGGATAAGTTTTCTAAAAGCCGACCAATCATCAAGCGCTTCCTGGGTCAGCTGACCATCCCAGTGCAGAGGCTGCTAGAGAGGCCAAATGCAGAGTGAGTCAACTGGAAACCCCGCCCACACTCAGAGAAACATATTCAGGCCTCCCGACTGGTGCAGCGGTCTAAGGCACTGCTTGAGGCGCCACTACAGCCCCGGGTTCGATCCCAGGCGGTGTCACAGCTGGCCGTGACCAGGAGACCCATGAGGCGGGGCCCAGCGTCGTCCGGGTTAGGGGAGGGTTTGGCCGGCCAGGATGTCCTTGTCCCATCGCACCCTAGCGACTCCTTGTGCCGGGCCGGGCGCCTGCAAGCTGACTTCGGTCGCCAGTGGGACGGTGTTTCCTCCGACACATTGGTGCGGCTGGCTTCCGGGTTAAGCAGGCAGTGTGTCAAGAAGCAGTGCGGCTTGGCAGGGTCATATTTCGGAGGACGCATGGCTCTCGAGTCTGTACGGGAGTTGCAGCGATGGGTCAAGACTGTAACTACCAATTGGATATCACGAAATTGGGGAGAAAAAGGGTTAAAAGTAAAAATAAATAAAAAGAGATACATATTCAATCAATAGTAATCTTTGTAACTATTTAAATAACCATGTATTGGTCATATTGACCTACAGCTGAGTCTGAATGGTTTGTAATGTGTGTTCATGTCCACAGGGACCAGCCGCTAAGCTACACCCTGTGTCGTCGTCTGCCCACGGACCATGTGAGCGGCCAGCTGCAGTTCAGAGTGGACATGACCTCTGGACATGACGGTAAGGACATGACCTCTGGACATGACGGTAAGGACATGACCTCTGGACATGACGGTAAGGACATGACCTCTGGACATGACGGTGAGGACATGACCTCTGGACATGACGGTGAGGACATGACCTCTGGACATGACGGTAAGGACATGACCTCTGGACATGACGGTGAGGACATGGGAGAGGGCATGAGTAATAAAGTAATAACATCTGTTTAGGAGAGAGGCTTTGTCTTGATCCGCTTATGTAAGACTGATTATATATATTTGGATAAAAGCGTCTGCTAAATGGCATACTATATATATTACTTTTGAATGTCACACACCCATCAATCAAATGTTGTGTATGAGTTTTGAAGGAAAATCTATGTTTTCTCCCTCCCTGACAGAGGGCTCTCCTGATGCCTTGGGTTCCATCTTGGGTTTGTCAGTGAACGGGGACCCTGGGAGCCCCTCTGACGATGAAGACCTCCCCCACCCTTCCTCCAGGGCCCGGGGCCCTTCTCCTACGGGGTCCGACTCCTCTCTGCTCAACGGAGAGGTCCACAGGGTTGGAGACGATGTCTGGAGTGACGCCCGGGGGGCGGTGGGCGAGCTGCACGTCCTAGGTAAAAGTCCTAAAGCTATGTTGTCTTTACTGTTAGTATGTTAACCTCAACTGTCAACTGTCATACTGTTAGTATGTTTAATTCAACTGTGATACTGTTAGTATGTTTAACTCAACTGTCATACAGTTAGTATGTTTAATGTAACTGTCATACTGTTAGTATGTTTCATGTAACTGTCATACTGTTAGTATGTTTAATTCAACTGTCATACTGTTAGTATGTTTAACTCAACTGTCATACAGTTAGTATGTTTAACTCAACTGTCATACTGTTAGTATGTTTCATGTAACTGTCATACTGTTAGTATGTTTAATTCAACTGTGATACTGTTAGTATGTTTAACTCAACTGTCATACAGTTAGTATGTTTAATGTAACTGTCATACTGTTAGTATGTTTCATGTAACTGTCATACTGTTAGTATGTTTAATTCAACTGTCATACTGTTAGTATGTTTAACTCAACTGTCATACAGTTAGTATGTTTAACTCAACTGTCATACTGTTAGTATGTTTAATGTAACTGTCATACTGTTAGTATGTTTAATGTAACTGTCATACTGTTAGTATGTTTCATGTAACTGTCATACTGTTAGTATGTTTAATGTAACTGTCATACTGTTAGTATGTTTAATGTAACTGTCATACTGTTAGTATGTTTAATGTAACTGTCATACTGTTAGTATGTTTCATGTAACTGTCATACTGTTAGTAGGTTTAATGTAACTGTCATACTGTTAGTATGTTTAATGTAACTGTCATACTGTTAGTATGTGTAATGTAACTGTCATACTGTTAGTATGTTTCATGTAACTGTCATACTGTTAGTATGTGTAATGTAACTGTCTACGGCTCATTTATCTTTTAGTTTTTAATGCAACACGCTTTCTGTACGTAAAGTACATTTCTGTGAACAGACAATGAAAGTATATCTAATCTAATCTAACTAGGATTGGCCATCCTGGGCGGCCACACCCATCGCCAGGTGTCCCTCAACGACTACCTGGATGCCATCGAGGCTCCTAAGGGCCCGGGAGAGCGGCCCCTGGGCGCGACGTCACCCAAGCTGAGATCCAGTTTCCCCACGGACACGCGACTCAGCGCCATGTTGCATATAGATTCTGATGAAGACGAGGAGGCGGGGCCGCCCAGGGACCACCCACCACCTGACAGGAAGCCCTTGCTGCCACTGACCAATGGTGTTCAGGCTGGGGCTGGGGAGGGGGCTGCCTCATCTGAACAGGGCCTGGGGAAACAAGGGAAAGACGGGACAGAGGCAAAGAGGGGAGAGGCTGAGGGAGCGCAGGGGACAGAAGCTGGGACAGAGATTGGAGATGGGGCTGGGGATGGAGATGGAGATGGAGATGGGGCTGGGGATGGGGCTGGGGATGGAGATGGAGATGGAGATGGAGATGGGGCTGGGGATGGGGCTGGGGATGGAGATGGGGCTGGGAATTGGGATGGGGCTGTATCCATGGCTGGGGCTGGAGTTGCAGTTGCAGTTGAGGCCAGGACTGGAGCTGGATCCATGGCTGTGGTTGGATCTCTAACTATAGCCAGACCTGGGGTTGGAGCTGAGGCCAGGCCTGGGTCTATCGTTGGGCCTGGGGCTGGAGCTGAGGCCAGGCCTGGGTCTATGGTTGGGCCTGGGGCTGGAGCTGAGGCCAGGCCTGGGTCTATCGTTGGGCCTGGGGCTGGAGCTGAGGCCAGGCCTGAGTCTGTGGTTGGGCCTGGGGTTGGAGCTGAGGCCAGGCCTGGGTCTATGGTTGGGCCTGGGGCTGGGGCTCCCCTATCTCCAATACCTGAGACGAATACTGCAGCGCAGGAGGTGTCAGAGGAGGCTGTGGCAGCCAGGACTGAGGCCAGCCAGCAGCCAATAATCTCAGGGGCCACAGCAGCTCAGGGGCCCCTCAGGAACTCACTGCCTGCTGTTCTGAAGACATCCACTACTCAGGTGAGTGGTGCTGTCAGACCAGGGCCTGGGCAGCTCCAGCTGGATATGGCCCATGCTCTGGGTCAAACAGCACTTCCATAACCCTTGACAAATGTCCTCTGAGATTTCATAGTTGGGTCCGATGAAGGCAGCCACTGTCCACATTGGGGAATCACAGGCTACGATAGACATGTTCCATCCTATGACTCATAAGGGGACGCCCACTATCTAACAGAAAGCTCTACCACGTATTTTACTGTACATTTCAACTTTAGGTTCATCTAAATATTTTCATGTCTTAGTGATGAACGCTAAATGCCAAAACAAAGTTTAACAATAAAGAATACTTTACTCTATTTTCAGAAGGGACAGAAGGAAGAGGAAGTGGCGCCCAAGGCTGAGGAGGAAGGGGCGGAGTCATCCAGTGAAGGAGCAAGTGCCATCGCAGCCACCCCGACGACCAGTAGCGTTCCCGACCAGGGGGGCGGGGCCTCTGGCTCTGATGTCACAGGAGCAAGGACCGCCGGCACAGCAGCAGCAGCCAATGAGGAAGAAGAGGGTGGGGAGATCTGGCAGAGGAGGCAGATCATGCAGGCGTCTGGAGGCGTGTCTCAGGAGGAGGGGGCGCGGTCTTCTGAAGCCAGCGGGCCAATCGACTCTTCTCAGAGTGTCTCTGAGGATGGCAGAGAACCAGGAGGTGAGAGACAGAACACAGCAACCCAGTATCACACATTTGTGTGAAATAGACACAAATTGCTTATTGGAAATTCGTGACAGGCACAGGAAAAAGTGAAAAGAATGTGTGTGCTCTACACGATTTTGTATACAGTGCATTTTAATCCCAGAAACGATAGGAGGGAGGTTGGGTGGGGGTATAACGTAATGGACACGAATACATTATGAAGAAGGAAAATTGTGTAATACACACCAAAAAGTGTGTGACTGTCACGAATTTTGAATAAGTAATTTGTGTCTAGTTCACAGTAAACTGTGATAGTGAGCTGTCCCTACCCAGTTGGGCTGTCTTTGGCTCCCATGACCCAATCTCAAAAACACCTGTTTTAAAGTCAATGACGGCACTAGCTAACATAGTTGACCTGCCACCGGTTTGTGTTAAGTCTTCAGAGGCATATTTGGATGTTCAGGTGACACTCTTGTTCATGGTCCTTCGATAGAGGTTGTGTGTGCATCTATAATATCCTCTTTGATATTTTGTCCAGAGTTGTAGTGATGTTTCTGCTCCTTAGACAAACAGTACAGTGCTACCACGAGGGATTGACCCATTTTAGGACTGAAAGAAAGATGAAAAGCTTGTTCAATCCTCTAAACGGATCTGAAGGAAATGAACAAAAAAACAAAACAAAAAAACGTATTATTCACTTGACGTTTATTACATTTGATCATTGTCAGATTATGTGTCTATCTTTCCCTCTGGTTTGCGTGACACAGTGGGGTTTGAATGTGTGTGTTTGAATGTGTGTGCTCGTCTGTGTGTGTGTGTGTGTTTAATCTTTATTCTGTTCAGGGGCCCCAGTGTGTTTTAATGTCTTCCTCTCTCCTCATCTTGTTCAGGGGCCACAGCTCAAGTCAACGGTCACCAGTCAGTCCGCTCTCTGCCCTCTGTCCGTCACGATATTGGTCGCTACCAGAGAGTAGATGAGACACTTCCGCCCAGTGAGTAGTGTGTTTCTGAGGGAGAAAGAGAAATATAGTGATCGAGATCATGTCAGTTGACCGACACATCATCTGACATCTGAATTTATACAATTAGTAATAGTATTAGATTTAGGGGTTGATTTTTTTCAGTTTGTGTCATATAAACAGGAACATCTTCCTAATATTGAGTTACACCCCCTTTTGCCCTCAGAACAGCCTCAATTCGTCGGGGCATGGACTCTACAAGGTGTTGAAAGCGTTCCACAGGGATGCTGGCCCATGTTGACTCCAATGCTTCCCACAGTTGTATCAAGTTGGCTGGATGTCCTTTGGGTGCTGGACCATTCTTGATACACACGGGAAACTGTTGAGTGTGAAAAACCCAGCAGCTTTGCAGTTCTTGACACACTCAAACCAGTGCGACTGGCACCTACTACCATACCCCGTTCAAAGGCACTTAAATCTTTTGTCTTGCCCATTCACCCTCTGAATGGCACACATACACAATCCATGTCTCAGTTGTCTCAATGCTTAAAAATCATTCTTTAACCTGTCTCCTCCCCTTCATCTACACTGATTGAAGTGAATTTAACAGGTGACATCAATAAGGGATCATAGCTTTCAGCTGGATTCACCTGGTCAGTCTATGTCATGGAAAGAGTTCCTAATGTTTTGTCCACTCAGTCCATATGATATATTTGCCTTGCAGACTGGGAGGCCCGTATAGACAGTCATGGTCGTGTCTTCTATGAGTGTGTGTGTGTGTGTGTTAACACTGCTGTGTGTGTGTGTTTCAGACTGGGAGGCCCGTATAGACAGTCATGGTCGTGTCTTCTATGAGTGTGTGTGTGTGTGTGTGTTAACACTGCTGTGTGTGTGTTTCAGACTGGGAGGCCCGTATAGACAGTCATGGTCGTGTCTTTTATGAGTGGTGTGTGTGGTGTGTTAACACTGCTGTGTGTGTGTTTCAGACTGGGAGGCCCTATAGACAGTCATGGTCGTGTCTTCTATGAGTGGTGTGTGTGTGTGTGTGGTTAACACTGCTGTGTGTGTGTTTCAGACTGGAGGCCCGTATAGACAGTCATGGTCGTGTCTTCTATGAGTGTGTGTGTGTGTGTGTGTTAACACTGCTGTGTGTGTGTTTCAGACTGGGAGGCCCGTATAGACAGTCATGGTCGTGTCTTCTATGTGGACCATGTGAACCGCACCACCACCTGGCAGAGACCCACCGCTCCTCCAGCACCACAGGTCCTCCAGAGGTCCAACAGCATACAGCAGATGGAACAGCTCAACCGCAGGTTAGAACCAGCACACACACACACACACACACACACACACACAGTCACACACAGTCACACACCTCTGTCTTCATGTTTGTGCCATTGCTTTTGTCTTCAGGTATCAGAGTATACACAGGACGATGACCAATGAGAGAGCAGCAGAAGAGCTGACAGCTCCGCCCGAGGTGCCCACTGAGGACACTGACCTGATGCACCACACTATCCCAGGTACCCAGGCTTGCAATGCATTCTGGTCACTGTAGTCAACTAAACCTTGACAATAGGCCTCTAGACTTTCACTAGCCAAAATTCTGTTTGTTTAGGCTGGTTTCTAATAAAACTAAAGACCCTGCTCTTGTTAAAAGCTTTTGTTTGGTTATTAGCTTGTGTGTGTTGTCAGAGTATCGGTGTGGTGGCTCCAGATAGCTCTCGGTCTCTAACACACGGTTTTCGTGTTGTGTTGTGTTGTGTGTGTGTTGTCAGAGTATCGTCGTGATGGTGTAGTGGCTCCGGATAGCTCTCGGTCTCGCCTCAGTCTGCTCCTCCAGTCTCCCAGCGCTAAGTTCCTGACCAGCCCAGACTTTTTCACTGTGCTGCATTCCAACCCTGTACGTCTAACCTATAGCAATACTATTAACTATTAGACTGTTACCCTACCTGTTATACTGTATCAGTCAGCTAAGTTCCTGATCAGCCCAGACTTTTTCACTGTGCTGCATTCCAACCCTGTATGTTTCACACAGACACACACACACACACACACACACACACACACACACACACACACACACACACACAGACACACACACACACACACACACACACACACACACACACACACCTAGATCCCCTTACTGCTAGAACAGTTCATTTCTATGATCTATCATTCTACTATTACAGTACTGTAGCTAAATTTACCTCACACTGTCACGTCAGTCATTCATCACTTTACAATACTCCTCTCTTCTCCACTCATCCCCTCTCCTCCGCCTCTCCTCTCCTCTCCTCTCCTCTCCTCTCCTCTCCTCTCCTCTCCTCTCCTCTCCTCTCCACTCCTCCCCTCTCCACTCCTCCCCTCTCCTCTCCTCTCCTCTCCTCTCTTCTCCACTCCTCCCCTCTCCTCTCTTCTCCACTCCTCCCCTCTCCACCCTCCCTCCCCCCTCCTCTCCTCTCTTCTCCTCTCCCTCGCTCCCCTCTTCCTCTCTCTTCTCCATCCTCCCCTCCTCTCTTCTCCACTCCTCCCCTCTCCTCTCTTCTCCACTCCTCCCCTCTCCTCTCTTCTCCACTCCTCCCGCTCCCTCCCCTCCCTCCCCTCTCCTCTCTCTTTCTCTCCTCTCCCCCGTCCTCCCCTCACCTCCCCTCTCCCTCTCCTCTCTCCTCTCCCACCCTCCTCTCCCTCTCCTCTCCCTCTCCCTCTTATCTTCTCTCCTCTCCCCCTCCCACCCTCCTCCCCTCCCCTCTTCCTCCCCGTCCTCTCCTCTCCTCTCCCCTCCCTCCCACCCTCCTCTCCTCCCTCTCCTCTCCCTCTCCTCTTGTTCTCTCCCCAGAGTGCCTACCGCATGTTTACAGGTAACACCTGCCTGAAACACATGATCAGTAAGGTGCGTCGGGACACGCATCACTATGAGCGCTACCAGCACAACAGAGACCTGGTGGTTTTCCTCAACATGTTCTCCAACAAACAGCTGGAGCTGCCCCGTGGCTGGGAGCTGAAGCACGACCACACTGGCAAGGTACACACACACACACACACACACACACACACACACACACACACACACACACACACACACACACACAGACACACACACATACACACACATACACACACAGGTACAGGTAACTACTCTCCTTTTCCATCTCCATCTCTCTCTCTCTCTCTCTCTCTCTCTCTCTCTCTCTGTTTACCAATGACCCTAACCTCTCCAATTCTCATTCTGTCTCTCTCTACAGCCTTTCTTTGTGGACCACAACTGCCGGGCCACTACGTTCATCGACCCTCGGCTCCCTCTCCAGAGCAGCACACGTCCCAGCGGCCTCCTGGCCCACCGCCAGCACCTGACCAGACAACGCAGCCACAGCGCTGGCGAGGTCAGCCCACGACGCATGGTGAGACACACACACACACACATCATGGTGAGACACACACAGACACACACACTCCTCAGTCAACTCAACCCCCTCTCTGTGCTCCAGGTGGGGGAGGACCCTCGTCACTCTGGAGGGGGACCTCCCACAATGCCACGCCCCTCCAGCACCTTCAGCACGGTCAGCCGCACCCAGTACCAAGACGTAGTGCCAGTGGGTGAGTGGACACACACAAACACACACAACACACACACACACACACACACACATTGCTCATTCTGTCCTCGACTCCTTCTCTTCAGCTTACAACGACAAGATAGTGGCGTTTCTACGACAACCCAATATCTTTGAGATCCTGCAGGAGAGACAGACAGAGTTTATCAGGAACCACTCGCTCAGGTCAGCAGCCCCTTCCTACCCCTCCCTCCTTCCTACCCCTCCCTCCTTCCTACCCCTCCCTTCTTCCTACCCCTCCCTTCTTCCTACCCCTCCCTTCTTCCTAACCCTACGCCCCTCCCTCCTTCCTACCCCCCCTCCTTCCTACCCCTCCCTTCTTCCCCCTACCACCCCTACCTCCTACCCCTCCCTCCTTCCTTCCCCTTCTTCCTACCCCTCCCTCCTTCCTCTCCCCTTCTTCCTACCCCTCCCTCTTCTTCCTACCCCTCCCTCCTTCCTCTCCCTTCTTCCTACCCCTCCCTCCTTCCTTCCCCTCCTTCCTCCCTCCCTCCTTCCTTCCCCTCCCTCCTTCCTACCCCTCCCTCCTTCCTACCCCTCCCTCCTTCCTATCCCCCCTCCCTTCCCTCCCCTCCTTCCTTCCTTCCTACCCCTCCCTCCTTCCTTCCCCTCTTCCTACCCCTCCCTCCTTCCTACCCTCCTTCCTTCCTACCCCTCCCTCCTTCCTTCCTACCCTCCCTCTTCCTTCCTACCCCTCCCTCCTTCCTACCCCTCCCTTCTTCCTCCCCCTCCCTCCTACCCCTCCCTCCTTCCTACCCCTCCCTCCTTCCTTCCCCTTCTCCTACCCTCCTTCCTCCTACCCCTCCTCCTTCCACCCCCTCCTTCTCCACCCCTCCCTCCTTCCTACCCCTCCCTCCCTTCCTACCCCTCCCTCTTCCTTCCCTACCCCTCCCTCCTTCCTACCCTCCCTCCTTCTTCCTACCCCTCCTCCTTCCTATCCCTCCCTCTCTTCCTACCCCCCTCCCTTCTTCCTACCCCCCCTCCTTCCTTCCTACCCTCCCTCCTTCCTACCCCTCCCTTCTTCCTACCCCTACCCTCCCTCCCTTCCCTTCTTCCTACCCTCCCTCTCTTCCTCCTTCCCCCTCCCTCCTTTCCTAACCCTCCCTCTTCCCACCCTCCTCCTCCTTCCTCCCCCCCTCCTTCTACCCTCCCTCCTTCCTACCCTCCCTCTCCTCCTTACCTCCCTCCTCCTACCCTCCCTCCCTCCTCCCCCTACCCTCCCTCCTCCTTCCAACCCCTCCCTCCTTCCTTCCTACCCATCCTTCCTTCCTACCCCTCCCTCGCTTCACTCAGAACAGTCCCTCAAACCCTCACCACTAAATTCACTACTGTTGTCAGCACACCCACTGTACCTCCCAAAGAGTCATTAAGGTTCATTCCCGTGTGTGTTTTCCACCACAGGGAGAAGGTTCAGTTGATCCGTAATGAAGGGGCCTCTGGTCTGGCCAGGCTGTCTGGTGATGCAGACCTAGTTATCCTCCTCAGGTGAGCTACTGCCATACCTGTACCTGCCTTATTCATGTGTAGGATCTTCATTTGAGCCAGTTTGCTACAGCAGGAAAATAATCCTGCAGCAACAGGAGATGTGGATTGTAATTAATGGAAGACTTGTGTTAGCTCCCTGAGCCAATACCTAGGCTTTAGATCAAACCCAGTTTTGTTACTTTGGGTCTCTGTAGCTCTCAGTGACATCATCTCCTCTCTTCTTTGTTCTCTCTGGCAGCCTGTTTGAAGAGGAAGTGATGTCATATGTTCCGCCTCACGCCTTACTGCACCCCAGCTACTGCCAGTCCCCACGAAGCTCCCCCGTGACCTCCCCACAGAACTCACCTGGTGAGAAGGCTTCTCTATACCTCACTTCTGTCTTTCTCTCCCATTCTCTCTCTCTCTCTCTCTTGTTTTTTCTCTTTCCTCTCTCTCTCCTCTCCCCCTCTCTCCCTCCTCCTCTCCTTTCTCTCTTTCCCTCTCCTCTCCTCTGCTCTCCTCTCCCCTCTCTCTCCCTCTCCTCTCTCTGTCTTAATATTACTCTTGATCTCTTTCTCTCTGTCTCTCTCTGTCTCTCTCTCTCTCTCTGTCCTCTCTCTCCTCTCCACTCCTGTCCTCTCCTCTCTCTCTCTGTCTCCATATTACTCTTGATCTCTTTCTCTCTCGTCTCTCTCTCTCTCTCTCCTCCCTCTCTCTGTCTCTCTGTCTCTCTCTCTCTCCTCCCTCTCTCTCTCTCTCTCGCTCTCTGTCTCTCTCTCTCCTCTCTCGTCTCGATCTCTCTCTTGCTTTCTTACTACCTCTCACTCTCTCTGTCGATGTTACTCTCAACCACTTGCTCTCTCTCGCTCTGTGTTTGTAAGGAGCACACACGCATCTCTCGTTCTCTGTCAAATTTTATTTCCACAGGAACACAGCGAGCTAATGCCCGTGCACCTGCCCCCTACAAGCGAGACTTCGAAGCCAAGCTGCGAAACTTCTACCGCAAACTGGAGACCAAGGGCTATGGCCAGGGCCCAGGGAAGTTAAAGTATGTAGTGTGGAGGATTCTTCTCGTCAACATAATACTGGAATATAGATGAATATTCATGAGTGAATACTGTACTGTAGATTAATATTAATGGGTGAATACTGTAATGTGGAATAATTAATAGGTTATTGATCTAGCTATATGCTTTGGTGTTCCAGCCATAGAAATAGAATCTCATTCTAGTTCTGTGGTCCACCCTCATAACCTCCATCCACGCCCTCCTGCCCTTACCAGTTCCCCCCTGTGTGTGTCTCTCCCTCCCCCAACCCCCAGGTTGATCATCCGTAGGGACCATCTCCTGGAGGATGCCTTCAACCAGGTCATGTGTTACTCCCGTAAAGACCTGCAGAGGAGCAAGCTCTACGTCAGCTTCGTGGGAGAGGAGGGGTGAGTCAGACAGACTGCCTGTCCTCTACTCTTCCAGAAGCTGGGGAGAATGATACTGGGTTCAATAGAATGAAACATGGAACATTTGAGGAATATTTAAGTTAGAAATGCACTTTGTCTGCTCTATGACATTAGACATTAGATTTCTATCTACAACGTTCCTTTTCATTTATGTGTACATCTTTGTTTGTGTATCTGTGTATTAATGTATCTTCCTTCATGTGTTCCAGGTTGGACTACAGCGGCCCGTCCAGAGAGTTTTTCTTCCTGGTGTCTAGAGAGCTGTTCAACCCATACTACGGCCTGTTTGAGTACTCAGCCAACGACACCTACACCGTTCAGATCAGCCCCATGTCTGCCTTTGTAGACAACCATCACGAGTGGTGAGTGACCTGAAGGCTGAGGGGGTTTGGGGTTGGAGTGGTCTGTTGGCTGATAAGCAGGATTGGGGCCATTTTGAATTGAAGTCAGTAAATTCTGGAAGCAAACTTAAATTCTTATTCAATAATAGAAAAATGGCATCTATTTTCAATTACTTTTCAATAAACTGAAAAGGATAAGCTTTTTATTTCAAACGTTTTTTCCATTTTAGAATTGTAACTAATTAATTTCCTGAATTGAGTGACTTCAATTTGAATGGACCCCAACCCTGGTGATAAGGTGAATGGAAATGCACTGAGTAAACCACGAGCCAAAACATCTGTTGTGTACATGAAGACCTGTGAAATAATATTTCTAAAAAATCTAAGTATCTTCTCTCTCTTCTTCCCTGTATAGGTTCCGTTTCAGCGGGCGTATCCTGGGCCTGGCTCTGATCCACCAATACCTACTGGATGCCTTCTTCACTAGACCCTTCTACAAGGGCCTGCTGCGCATGTACGTATCCACCACCTGGACTGTCTAATTATAGGTATACACTAGGGGTATTCAACTCTTACCCTACAAGGTCCAGCGCCTGCTAGTTTTCTGTTCTACATGATAATTCATTGCACACACCTGGTGTCCCAGGTCTAAATCAGTCCCTGATTAGAGGGGAACAATGAAAACATGCAGTGGAAACAGGTTTGGCGTTCCAGTGTTGAATTTAGGGCTATACAATATGTAACTAGAGAGTATTTTTCTGACATTTTAAGCCTAAATCCATTTTACTCTACTATATTCTATTCTACTCAATTTTACTCTATTATATTCTACTCTATTCTACTCTATTCTATTCTACTCTATTCTACTCTATTCTATAGCATATGTGAGCTGAGTGATCTGGAGTATCTGGATGAGGAATTCCACCAGAGTCTCCAGTGGATGAAGGACAACGACATCGAGGACATGTTGGACCTCACCTTCACTGTCAATGAGGAGGTGTTCGGACAGGTGTGTGTGTGTGTGTGTGTGTGTGTGTGTGTGTGTGTGTGTGTGTGTGCGTGTGTGTGTGTGTGTGTGTGTGTGCGTGTGCTGTGTGTGTGTGAGTTATAAAGCTTATGTGTATGTACTGCGTGTGTAGATCACAGAGAGAGAGCTGAAGCCGGGCGGGGCCAACATCCCAGTGTCAGAGAGGAATAAGAAGGAGTACATTGAGCGCATGGTGAAGTGGCGTATTGAGAGAGGAGTGGTTCAACAGACAGAGAGCCTGGTCCGGGGCTTCTATGAGGTACGATCTACAACAAGGACTTTCTCAATAAAATATCCCATCAAATATCTCCTGATGCATATTCTGATAAAGGTAGACTCAGCAATATCATCATACACAGTGGGGCAACTTCCTGCTCACAGACATCAACAACAACTGAATTCAAATTAGGCAAGACTAATGTAGCTAAAGGCTGTAGTGTGGTTGAATGTATTATGAAGACTGTATAATGGGATTGAGTTTGTTGTGTTTGTAATAATAATATATGCCATTTAGCTTTTATCCAAAGAGACTCACAGTCATGCATGCATACATTTGACATATGGGTGGTGCCGGGAATCAAACCCAGCGGCGTTACAAGCGCCAGGCTCTACCAACCGAGCTACAAAGGACCACAAAGGTTGTGGTCATCGTTTGTAACCTGGATGCCCTGTAACCTGGATGCCCTGTGCTGTGCCATGCAGGTGGTGGATGCCAGGCTGGTGTCAGTGTTTGATGCCAGGGAGCTGGAGCTGGTGATAGCTGGCACCGCTGAGATAGACCTGGTAGACTGGAGGAGCAACACAGATTACAGAGGAGGTATGAACTGGGGGGAGAGGGTGGGAGGGGGGAGACGGGGGAGACGGGAGGGGGGGTGAGAGGAAGAGACGGGGGGAGGGAGATACGGGGGGAGGGAGAAAGGGGAGGGAGATACAGGGGGAGGGAGAAGGGGAGAAAGGGGGAGGGGGGGGAGAGAGAGGGGGAGAGGGAGATACATGGGGAGGGGGGAGAGGGGAGGATGGGGAGAGGGAGAGGGAGAGACGGGGGAGAGGGAGATACAGGGAGGGAAGGAGAGGAGACGGGGAGAGGGGAGAGATGGAGGGGAGAGGGAGAGTGTAGAGGAGAGAAGGGGAGTAAGGGGGAGACGGGAAGGAGAACAGGGGAGGGGAACGGGGGAGAGGGAGAGATGAGGGAGGGGGGATGGGACGTGTAGAGGGAGAGACAGGGGGTAGAGGGGTGAGACGGGGAGAGGGAGATACAGGGGGAGGGGAGACGGGGGGAGAGGGAGAGATGAGGGAGGGGGGGGAGACGTGTAGAGGGAGAGACAGGGGGTAGAGGGGTGAGACGGGGAGAGGGAGATACTGGGGGTGGGGGAAGACGGGGGAGACGAAGGGAGGGGGTAGAAACCTGGATTAGCAACACCTATTACAGAGGATGTACAGTGGGGAGAACAAGTATTTGATACACTGCTGATTTTGCAGGTTTTCCTACTTACAAAGCATGTAGAGGTCTGTCATTTTTATGATAGGTACACTTCAACTGTGAGAGACGGAATCTAAAACAAAAATCCAGAAAATCACATTGTATGATTTTTAAGTAATTAATTTGCATTTTATTGCATGACATAGGTATTTGATACATCAGAAAAGCAGAACTTCATATTTGGTACAGAAACCTTTGTTTGCAATTACAGAGATCATACGTTTCCTGTAGGTCTTGACCAGGTTTGCACACACTGCAGCTGGGATTTTGGCCCACTCCTCCATACAGACCTTCTCCAGATCCTTCAGGTTTCGAGGCTGTCGCTGGGCAATACGGACTTTCAGCTCCCTCCAAAGATTTTCTATTGGGTTCAGGTCTGGAGACTGGCTAGGCCACTCCAGGACCTTGAGATGCTTCTTACGGAGCCACTCCTTAGTTGCCCTGGCTGTGTGTTTCGGGTCGTTGTCATGCTGGAAGACCCAGCCACGACCCATCTTCAATGCTCTTACTGAGGGAAGGAGGTTGTTGGCCAAGATCTCGCGATACATGGCCCCATCCATCCTCCCCTCAATACGGTGCAGTCGTCCTGTCCCCCTTGCAGAAAAGCATCCCCAAAGAATGATGTTTCCACCTCTATGCTTCACGGTTGGGATGGTGTTCTTGGGGTTGTACTCATCCTTCTTCTTCCTCCAAACACGGCGAGTGTAGTTTAGACCAAAAAGCTCTATTATTGTCTCATCAGACCACATGACCTTCTCCCATTCCTCCTCTGGATCATCCAGATGGTCATTGGCAAACTTCAGACGGGCCTGGACATGCGCTGGCTTGAGCAGGGGGACCTTGCGTGCGCTGCAGGATTTTAATCCATGACGGCGTAGTGTGTTACTAATGGTTTTTTTTGAGACTGTGGTCCCAGCTCTCTTCAGGTCATTGACCAGGTCCTGCCGTGTAGTTCTGGCCTGATCCCTCACCTTCCTCATGATCATTGATGCCCCACGAGGTGAGATCTTGCATGGAGCCCCAGACCGAGGGTGATTGACCGTCATCTTGAACTTCTTCCATTTTCTAATAATTGCGCCAACAGTTGTTGCCTTCTCACCAAGCTGCTTGCCTATTGTCCTGTAGCCCATCCCAGCCTTGTGCAGGTCCACAATTTTATCCCTGATGTCCTTACACAGATCTCTGGTCTTGGCCATTGTGGAGAGGTTGGAGTCTGTTTGATTGAGTGTGTGGACAGGCGTCTTTTATACAGGTAACGAGTTCAAACAGGTGCAGTTAATACAGGTAATGAGTGGAGAACAGGAGGGCTTCTTAAAGAAAAATTAACAGGTCTGTGAGAGCCGGAATTCTTACTGGTTGGTAGGTGATCAAATACTTATGTCATGCAATAAAATGCAAATTAATTAGTTAAAAATCATACAATGTGATTTCCTGGATTTTTTTTCTGAAATTACAGACCTCTACATGCTTTGTAAGTAGGAAAACCTGCAAAATCAACAGTGTATCAAATACTTGTTCTCCCCACTGTATACCAATGGCTGAATCCCAAATGACACCCTATTCCCTATATAGTGCACTACTTGTCCAAGGTAGTGCACTATGTAGGGCAGGGTTCTTCAATTCCGGTCCTGGAGGGCCGAAACACTTCTGTTTTTTATTTCTACCTGGTAGTTAATTGCACTCACCTGGTGTCCCAGGTCTGAATTAGCCCCTGATTAGAAGGAGAGGATGAAAAACAGAGGTGTTTCGGCCCTCCAGGACCGGAATTGAAGAACCCTGATGTAGGGAATAGGGTGTAATTTAAGACACAGACAATAACTTGATGTATATAGCCCTTTTCATAATGTCCTTTAGAGCTGCTGTCTGGGTCTTAGGCAGCAGTAAAGATAGTGCATTGTTCCATTCAGATGTAGAAGGAAATGTTTTTAAATGTCTTTCCAATTAGGAAGAGCTGTTAGAGAAAGGGTTGTACAGTGGGGAAAAAAAGTATTTAGTCAGCCACCAATTGTGCAAGTTCTCCCACTTAAAAAGATGAGAGAGGCCTGTATTTTCATCATAGGTACACGTCAACTATGACAGACAAATTGAGAAAAAAAAATCCAGAAAATCACATTGTAGGATTTTTAATGAATTATTTGCAATGAGGGTGGAAAATAAGTATTTGGTCACCTACAAACAAGCAAGATTTCTGCCTCTCACAGACCTGTAATTTTCTTCTTTAAGAGGCTCCTCTGTCCTCTACTTGTTACCTGTATTAATGGCACCTGTTTGAACTTGTTATCATTTATAAAAGACACCTGTTCACAACCTCAAACAGTCACACTCCAAACTCCACTATGGCCAAGACCAACGAGCTGTCAAAGGACACCAGAAACAAAATTGTAGACCTGCACCAGGCTGGGAAGACTGAATCTGCAATAGGTAAGCAGCTTGGTTTGAAGAAATCAACTGTGGGAGCAATTATTAGGAAATGGAAGACATACAAGACCACTGATAATCTCCCTCGATCTGGGGCTCCACGCAAGATCTCACCCCGTGGGGTCAAAATGATCACAAGAACGGTGAGCAAAAATCCCAGAACCACACGGGGGGACCTAGTGAATGACCTGCAGAGAGCTGGGACCAAAGTAACAAAGCCTACCATCAGTAACACACTACGCCGCCAGGGACTCAAATCCTGCAGTGCGAGACGTGTCCCCCTGCTTAAGACAGTACATGCCCAGGCCTGTCTAAAGTTTGCTAGAGTGCATTTGGATGATCCAGAAGAGGATTGGGAGAATGTCATATGAAACCAAAATAGAACTTTTTGGTAAAAACTCAACTCGTCGTGTTTGGAGGACAAAGAATGCTGAGTTGCATCCAAAGAACACCATACCTACTGTGAATCATGGGGGTGGAAACATCATGCTTTGGGGCTGTATTTCTGCAAAGGGACCAGGACGACTGATCCGTGTAAAGGAAAGAATGAATGGGGCCATGTATCGTGAGATTTTGAGTGAAAACCTCCTTCCGTCAGTAAGGGCATTGAAGATGAAACGTGGCTGGGTCTTTCAGCATGACAATGATCCCAAACACACCACCTGGGCAACGAAGGAGTGGCTTCGTATGAAGCATTTCAAGGTCCTGGAGTGGCCTAGCCAGTCTCCAGATCTCAACCCCATAGAAAATCTTTGGAGGGAGTTGAAAGTCCATGTTGCCCAGCGACAGCCCCAAAACATCACTGCTCTAGAGGAGATCTGCATGGAGGAATGGGCCAAAATACCAGCAACAGTGTGTGACAACCTTGGGAAGACTTACAGAAAACGTTTGACCTGTGTCATTGCCAACAAAGGGTATATAACAAAGTATTGAGAAACTTTTGTTATTGACCAAATACTTATTTTCCACCATAATTTGCAAATAAATTCATAAAAAATCCTACAATGTGATTTTCTGGATTTTTTTTCCTCATTTTGTCTGTCCTAGTTGACTTGTACCTATGATGAAAATTACAGGCCTCTCTCATCTTTTTAAGTGGGAGAACTTGCACAATTGGGGCTGACTAAATACTTTTTTTCCCCACTGTATATAACAGTATACCCTAGCAAGCTGTCTGGTTAAAAAGCCAAAGTAGCTATGCCTAAGTAGCCAGGCTACTGAGTGACTCATGTCTGTCTGTCTGTCTGTCTTCCTGCCTCCCTCAGGTTACCATGACAACCACATAGTGATCCGTTGGTTCTGGGCGGCGGTGGAGAGATTCAACAACGAGCAGAGACTCAGGCTGCTGCAGGTGGGGGTGCACACACACACACACACACACACACAGACACATACACACACACACATGCACACATATACAAACACATACACACACATATACAAACAACACACACACAAACACAACACACTACAACACACACCCCAACACAATACAACACACACAACACAAATAACAAACACATACACACACAACACACACACACGACACAACACACACAACACAACACACACACACAACACACACACACACAACAACAACACACACACACACACACAAACACAACACACACACACACACACAACACACACACACAACACCCCACACACACACAACACACACACACAACCACAACACCAAACACTACACACACACAACACACACACACACACACACACACAACAACACAACACACACACACCACACAACAACAACACACAACACAACACACACACCTACCACACACACACACACACACACCAACACATACACACACACACACACACGTAACACACCTTCCTTCATCTCGCAGTTGTACGACCTCCATATCCCTACAGTTTCTCCCCCTCCGAGCAAGCAACACCCAGGTCTGTGTGAGAAAGCGAAACCTCTCTACCGTCTTTACTACTCTGTAGGTGACGGGGACCTCCAGTATTCCCTACGAGGGTTTCTCCTCTCTCCGAGGCAGCAACGGACCCCGCAGGTTCTGTGTGGAGAAATGGGGTAAAGTTACCTCTCTACCCAGGTAAACTATTGAGCTAACTTCACTTGTAAGGCTAAGTGAACTAATGTAGTACAGCATTTATCAATTTGAGCATAATGTATGAAAATGGATTATAGAGACTGTTGTTGTTGTATTCACTGTGTTTGCGGTTGTCTCCTCTCCAGGGCTCACACCTGTTTCAACCGGCTGGACCTCCCCCCATATCCCTCATTCTCCATGCTGCACGAGAAGATGCTCACTGCCGTGGAGGAGACCAGCACCTTCGGCCTGGAGTGATGACCCCTATCACCTTTAACCTTTAACCCCCCCACTCCTCCTACGACCTTTGACCCTGACCTCTGAACTGTAGTATCACAGAGGTAGAGGAACCCAAGGGGTTCAAGGGGATGACTGTCTAGTCTGTCTGGCACCCTATTGTATCTTTATACACACTCACTTTATACACACTCACCTTCCTGAAGTGAGCTGAACAGAGGAGAATAGACTGATGTCTATCAGAGGGTATCAACCCCGCACAACGCCAGGGTTTCCCTGTGACGGTTAAGGTCACTTAGACACACTGCCAACACAAACCAAAGGAGAGCACCCTAACCCTCACACCCTTGTTACTCCATTAGACCAATGGGAGAGATGGACTCGTAAGCCTCCAACCAATCGCAATGAAGGAACAAAAACCAGTCTCGTAAGGACGTTGGTGGTCGAGCTTTTCCTGAAGAGGAAAGTAAACAAAGCTGCTTTATCTCTGAGAGGCTGAGGCGGACATCACAGGACATCGCTCCTCTCGGAGAGGCTGAGGCGGACATCACAGGACATCGCTCCTCTCAGAGAGGCTGAGGCGGACATCACAGGACATCGCTCCTCTCAGAGAGGCTGAGGCGGACATCACAGGACATCGCTCCTCTCAGAGAGGCTGAGGCGGACATCACAGGACATCGCTCCTCTCAGAGAGGCTGAGGCGGACGTCACAGGACATCGCTCCTCTCAGAGAGGCTGAGGCGGACATCACAGGACATCGCTCCTCTCAGAGAGGCTGAGGCGGACATCACAGGACATCGCTCCTCTCAGAGAGGCTGAGGTGGACGTCACAGGACATCGCTCCTCTCAGAGAGGCTGAGGCGGACGTCACAGGACATCGCTCCTCTCGGAGAGGCTGAGGTGGACGTCACAGGACATCGCTCCTATGAAGAGGTGTGTTGCTCCTGGAGAGGGGGATGAGAGGAGAGAGAAAGAAGACAAGACAGGTGTTGTTCATCTGCTGTGGCCACGCCTCCTGCCCTGTCAGAGAGAGAATCAACCAATCAAGGTCCAGGCAGCTTTGTGACCTGACCTTGTTGAACACTCTGACAGGTGTGTTCTAGAACAGAACACTGAAGTAGCCTATCATGATGCGGTGGTGTCTGTGTGGTGAAGCTAAACTTGGATATCTCTACAGGCTTTTCATCTATCCGCAAAATGTATTTTGTAACGGCCACAAACAATGATATGGTTTTGAATGTACTGACGTTTTTGTACGTAGCTCGATGACTTGTCAAATCAAAATGGCTGCCTCATTCTTAACAAACGTCAGGGGAAGCTATTAGCATGAATAACCAAACTCAGCTACGGTTTGTTAGATAAAGACATTACAGTGAGTTGGCTTTCCCATCATGTGAGACACACGCTCACACACTCTCTTTCAGCTGTTTTCATTGTTTGTTAGTATGTTGATCGTCATCGTTGCTTTATCATTGAACTACACTGCCAGAGTAGAGGGTGATCTGAACTTTTAAAATCCGTCATGTTTGTTAGTTGAGCTTGTTTTTAACTTGCTTCTACTTTTTATCCTTCTGTACATTATCCTGATTGCCACCTAATTTAATAAGCTGTTTTGATCTGTTCCTATTTTAATAGTGGTTGGGACCCTGATGTAGCCTCATACACTGTACAGTTCTATGTCAAGACTTGGGATTGTGACACAATGACAGATGTTCCTATGACCATGATAATGAAAGTAAAATATGGTGATTAACAACCTGCATGTCGAGACACACACACAGGCCTACATCATGCAATTATAATATGATCTGTGTGTGGATGATGGTAAGGTGAAGGGACATTTTATAGCTTTATAGAGACTCATGACAGAGAAGTTGTCATACACAAGTATAGATGCCCATCGTATGCTATTACACTGCCTGTTTTGACTGATGGGGGGGAAATGTTGGTTTTCAAGTGAGGGAAGAAAAGGTGCTTTTTATAGATGTATCTACAGTACTAGGAAGTTTTAAAACGAGCAGTAATGAGAATATGAAGGAAGAGTCATAGAAACAGAAACACGTAAACGTTTTTCATTGTTTTGTTTTGTGCTCACTTGATACTCTACCTTAGTCTGCCTTCTGATACCACCATATTCTACTCTCAGGGTGCGTTCCAGGTGGTCTTTATTGCAGTCGCGCTGCTGCTGAGCATTTTAGACGATTTACTATATTGTATGTATATCATATTAACATAGTTCCTGAGAGTTAACAACTTTTCCAGACGTTGTGAGGGACTATCATCTGAGCAATGTGTCGACTGCAATAACGATGACATGGAACGCGCCCAATGTCTTTGTTTCATAGATGTGACCCCACCCAGCCACCGTCACATCCCCTGAGACTGTGGAATGTAGCTAACAGAATGGAAGGGACTGAAATAGAACAACTTCCTGCATTCTCTTCCATCATCCTTGGGCCAGTGAGAGACTGAGGGCAGATATTACATGTTTGTTTGTTTTTTGGGGGGGGATTATTTAAGATACTGTTTGAAGAGGTAGGGTTTCAGATGTTTTCGGAAGATGGGCAGTGAATCTGCTGTCCTAGATTCTGGAGGAAGCTGGTTCCACCATCGGGGTGCCAGGATAGAGAAGAGCTTGGCCTGTGCTGAGCGGGAGCTGCCCTCCCATAGGGGTGGGAGGGCCAAGAGACCAGAGGTGGCAGAACAGAGTGCTCGGGTTGTGGTGTAGGTTTTGAGCATAGCCTGAAGGTAGGGAGGGGCAGTTCCTCTTGCTGTTCTGTAGGTAAGCACCATGGTCTTGTAGTGGATGCGAGCATTACGGTAATACTGTACATGAGCTGGGATGGCTTGCAAGAAGTTCTTAGAACTGTTTACTTACTGATAGTACACCTTTCTTTCATTCTGACTCCCTCTCTTTCATTCTGACTCCCTTTCTTTCATTCTGACTCCCTCTCTTTCATTCTGACTCCCTCTCTTTCATTCTGACTCCCTCTCTTTCATTCTGACTCCCTCTCTTTCATTCTGACTCCCTCTCTTTCATTCTGACTCCCTCTCTTTCATTCTGACTCCCTTTCTTTCATTCTGACTCCCTCTTTCATTCTGACTCCCTCTCTTTCATTCTGACTCCCTCTCTGTCTGCAAATGAATGATTGTGCTGTCCTGTGTAGGCTATGTATTTGCACCAGGGGTCTCCAACAGGTCGATCACGAAGTAGCTCGCAGCCTACCTATGAGTAGCTCGCCAAACAGTTCTGAAAATACTTGCAATTTTCACAAACTGTCATAAACAAATTTCACAAGCATCAGACACCGCAAGCGATCCAGCTACTAAATAATCAACACAACTTTGACATTATCCCACCCCTGGTTAGCCACTATTGGCTTAAAAAGCCAAACGTTACAATATTAGCCAATGAATTCCCAGCAACATTGCCCCTGTCTGTCTGTGTGGTGCGCGCGTTTGTCCATCACGCCATATGTAGCCAGTAGACATGATAAACCATCTTGTGAGTTGACAGAAATACTTTCCACAAAACCTTTTCAATTAAATGTTTACTGCAAGTAGGCTTTACTTGGCATAAGTATATAATGAGTATCTATTATTTGTTATTTGCAAACTTTGCCATGAAATGAGCAGCAAGAAACCATTGCTAGACTGGCACATTCCTCTCAGATGCGCAATTAAAGGGCCAGATGCGCAATTACAGGAAAATTACAAAAATAAATCTACATTTGTTAGTTTTCTTCCAGACCTAAAAATAATTGTCCTCCGAGGTGATTTAAACATTGACATGGACTCAGAAGAGCCAATTTCGTTGTTTCTCTATGAACAATTGTAATTTTGAGAGTGAAAAACAAGAAAAATCTAAAACCAGGAAAAACAAAACTGAGAACAGAATTTGGGAAAATAAATCACTGATTTTAGAGTTGTTTATTAACCATTATTTTACCAGGTATATTGACAGAAAATATAGTGCACTACTTTATCTTGTGCACTAAAGACCCGGGGAAGAGTTGCATGGGAGAGAAGAAGAATGGGCCTATTTGAAAGCTAGAAAAAAATGTGTAGCTCTCATGCTAGAAAAGGTTGGAGACCCCTGATTTGCACTGAATGTACCAATGTTTTGGGGCTTTAATTGGGGCTTTTGAGTCTATCCATCCAAGTCTGGGTCTCTCAACCTCCATGGTCTTCACATTCACCACCATCACTGAGCAACCGATAGCCATCACACCAACCCACTACTACTTTACTCACAGAAACACTACACAACATGCATACTATCACCAATTGTGACCAATTCGAAAGTTGCATCCATGTTTCAGTTGTTCTCACCTTTTTGTAATGGAATGTGACCAATTTGAAAGTTGCATCCATGTTTCAGTTGTTCTCACCTTTTTGTAATGGAATGTTCTGTCTGTTCCTCTCTGGCTGGCTGTCTGCCTGTCTGGCCCTGTGACCGGCAGGACTCTGTGTCACAGGGAGCTAGGATTAGAGACTGTCTGCTGGGGGGTTCAAGGCTGTGTCTTTGTCAGAGCTTCACTATGCAAAGCTTTTTTCTCCATGTCACTCCTTATGATTGTATGAAAAAAACTTATAAAAAAATTGATTAAATGTGTTTGCGTCTTTTGTGTTGGGAGTTTAACATGGATTAAGTGTTTATTAGTAGTGGTATATTCAGTAATCAGTTTTTTGGCTAATTTTGGCATAAATTAATAATATAACATTTTTGCAAAAGTAAGATTTCATTGCGCATAACTGATTGATTTATAAAGGTAAAACTATGAGCCAAAGAAAAGCCTTCAACTATTAATGAGCCCTGTTTGATCACGCCCCTTCAACCTGTTGCTAAGAGCAACCGAAGCGTCAGGGGACTGTACACAGAGGAGCAATGCTAGCTAACGTAAGCTAGCAAACTAACAGCTGGTAGTGGCTGTTTTAGTTTGCGTTAAGTTAAAGAGATTTCATAATATAATGCAATTTGATAGAAGTCAATAGGTTAGTTTCTCTCCAAAAACGGTAGGGAAATGCCACCAAAAAGAGTCAAAAGCGGGACAGTGTCTGCTGCTGGTGCAACGGCAGTTGGAAACAAGGCTTGGGAAACTGGACTCAGTACTGCACCATTTGAGGAGGTAGCTAACGTTAACATCTTTCTAACTTTAGCTAGCTAGCTAGCTAGAACTTTAGTAAAGCTAGATATCTAGCTAGTGAAACATTACTTGAACACACTAAACTTTAAGGGGCCAGCTACAAAAGCAGGGAATGACTTCACTTGTCACAGACTTGTCAATGTCACTTGGCTATGTTGTTGTTATTCACTGATCACTGACGATGATGATGATGCTAGGAGACTTGGAAGGCCAGCATTTCTCTGGTGGTGGGAGAGAGGCTGGAGGATGAGGAGCTGATCGGTGCTCTGCTGCTGGCTGTACAGCAGCCCCTACGCAGGCTCTTCAGTGTAGTCACCTGGGACGCCACCCTAGAAAAGGTCAGTAACACAAAGTCTGATTGTTCACAGTCAAGCATAGTAGTAGGAGTCCCCTGTAGCTCAGTTGGTAGAGCATGGCGCTTGCAACGCCAGGGTTGTGGGCTCGTTTCCCACGTGGGGGCCAGTATGAAAATGTATGCACTCACTAACTGTAAGTCGCTCTGGATAAGAGCGTCTGCTAAATGACTAAAATGTAATAGTAAATAATAAAATCAACCACTGAATGAAATGCTTCACAGATCCATGAACTGGGAAACCCAAAAATCAAGAAGACCAAGGATGCACCCATGTTTTATGAGGTATGTAATGCACCCATTATTCAGTAAAATGGGCTTTAAAGGCTATTCATTTCAAAAGACACATTTAGGAAGCAGCAGAGAAAGAGTCTTGCACAATAGATTAGAACTACTACTCACTTTCTGGCTATTCTACATCAAGTATGTTGTTTATCTATAAAGGTGATGGAGGCAGCCAAGGTCCTGCTGGATGCAGGAGAGGAGCTGCCCTGTGACCTGCTGGGTAAACTGCTCAAGTTCCAGCTCCTGGGAGTCAAGACCAACGACCAGCAGAGGAGAGCCGCAGAGATGAGGGTAGGAAGGAACTCCTGACAGTCATCAACAAGCATCAGTCATCTTATCGTCCTGGCAACAGTCAGCTTTCCTAGAGAACCTTTTAAGTGTTATTGTCAGATAGAGTCAGCGTTATAGTAGTATTGTAACATGCGTGATACGTAACCTTGTCTGAGACATGAAGACTAGCGTGCGCTACCTGTTAATGTCTAGGCTTCAGCTCAGCAGGCTAACGCAGTCTTCTGGCACAGAGGAGACCCGGATTTGAACCGCAGTATTAGCACCACTCAGTTTAGTCCACTCTCTCCCAGGCTGCTGAGGAGAAGGCTAAGGGCAAGGCTGGCAATACCTCCCCAACCAAAGACAAAGGTGGTGCCAAGCCTGCTGCTAAAGGTGACAAGGGGAAGAAAGGGTCAGAGCCCAGCGCCCCAACCAAGGACACCAAGCTGAAAAAGAGAGGCGAGGAGGATGAGACCAACAAGTACATAGGTGAGCAGTCGACTCTGTCCCAATGATCACACATACAGTATAGTAGGACTGTTCGCTCATTAGTATGATGTTGGTTGTCACTTTGTGTTGGGGAGACTGGTTGGTTGTCTCTCTCTCTCTCTGTCTCTCTCTCTGATCCCTCTCCTGGGGAGAGAAGAGAGGGAGAGAGAAGCGGAAGAGCTTCTCTCTCCTCTCTGTATCTGTCTCTGTCTCTCGCTCTCTCTCGCTCTGCTCTCTCTCCTCTGATCTCTTCTCGATCTCTCTCTCCTCTCTCTCTTCTCTTTCTCTCTCTCTTCTCTCTTCTCCTCTCCGTTCTCTCTCGCTCTCTCTCGCACATCTCTCTCTCTTTTTGTGTATGTGTGAATGTGTGCGCACATGCTTTCGTGTGTGTGTGTGTGTGTAGACGATGAGCCAGACGATGGTCCTCAGCACTACGTCCTGGTGGTGGGCTTCCAGCAGGCTCAGCTGGTCTCTGTGCTGGACAGCCTGGGGGTCCATGTGTCCAACGTTATCAAGCTGACCTCACAGAGACCAGACCGGCCAGAGGGATCACTGGAGGGGAGTGATGCCAAACCCCTGGATGGGGGTAAGACTCAGATTGCCATCAATGTGAGGTTTCGATTGATTTAGCCTGGGATCTTGAATTTTTTGTTCCACTGGTTTCATTGTACGGTCAGGGTAACCTGAATCAAGCACAGCAGAGGTATTTGACAGTATTTCATATTGGCAGTACACTACTTGACAGTATTTCATATTGGCAGTACAGTATTTGACAGTATTTCAGATTGGCAGTACAGTATTTGGCATTTTAACTCTTGATCTAACAATCAATCTAATTTTTATATGATTTGTGTAGCTAAATGCTGCTGTTGTGTTCCTGTAGACGCGGAGGCTAACATTAGGAGAAGACAGCGGGAGCAGTTCTGGGGTCAGTTGGAAGGGGTGCTAAACAGTGGCTCAGCCCTCTCCAAGCTGTTTGATGTGGCCCGCCTTAGTCTCACCGCTAAAGAGATCCTGTCACCACAAGACAAGGATAACCCAGAGGCTATGGTGATTTCCTTGCCTTCTTCTTCTTCTTCTTCTTCTTCTTCTTCTTCTTCTTCTTCTTCTTCTTCTTCTTCTTCTTCTTCTGCTCCTGCTTCTTCTTCTTCTTCCTGTTCTCTTCCTCTTCCTCCTCCTCCTCTTCCTTCTGCTCCTCCTCCTCCTCCTCCTGTTTCTTCTTCTTCTTCTTCTTCTTCTTCTTCTTCTTCTTCTTCTTCTTCTTCTTCTTCTTCCTCTTCTTCTGATATCAATCAAAGCTCTGACGAGAAGGCCGAGACTCTGACACATAAGCAATAAACATTGGCAAGAGCAGTGTGCGGGTCTTTCTTTTTCTTTGTTAATTGTTTAGAATATACTTAAAATGCTATGTTAATATGTTGTGTTGTAGCTTGGGTTTGGGACACGTCTGTTTGAGGACGTGGCGTGTCTGATCTATGACTGTCTGGACTGGAGGAGACAGCATCAACACTACCTCAACAACATGAGACTGGTCCAGGTGCCCTCTGTCACCAGGGCTGGGGCACGCACCACCCAGGAGAACCCTGCAGAGGTACTATACTACAAACACACATGCATGAACACACTGGATGAACTTACTGCTGGATAGAGAAGGAACCCATACTGAATGTACACAATACTGTCTTTATTTCATGTAGGTCTATTTTCTATTTCTACATGTAGCAAAAATGTTGAGGAATATGTTCTGTCATGTCTTAGACAGTTCAAACCACAACGCCTCAGACACCTGGGTCCAAGAAGAGACAAGCCCAAGAGGAGACCCCTCCAGGTATTCTACAGCTTCACAAACACTCACTGTAGGACAGTTGATATTATAATGTATAGTTCAAGTACATTATTACAGTTAACTGATAGCTGAATGAAAAGTGAATTGACCCTAACCCAGGGAACTGATGTCTGTTGTCCCAGCAGACCCTGAACCGGCTGCTCTGAGTACTGATGTGGACATGCGTTACTATAACGACCTGCTGGACCAGATCCCTCCTGAAGCCTCCTCTGTTCCCCTCATACTACACTGCATGCTGGAGCAGGTTCTGTTCTGTTCCCTTCATACTACACTGGAGCAGGTTCTGTTCTGTTCCCTTCATACTACACTGGAGCAGGTTCTGTTCTGTTCCCTTCATACTACACTGGAGCAGGTTCTGTTCTGTTCCCTTCATACTACACTGGAGCAGGTTCTGTTCTGTTCCCTTCATACTACACTGGAGCAGGTTCTGTTCTGTTCCCTTCATACTACACTGGAGCAGGTTCTGTTTCTGTTGCCTTCATACTACACTGGAGCAGGTTCTGTTTCTGTTGCCCTTCATACTACACTGGAGCAGTTTGTTCTGTTCCCTTCATGCTACACTGTAGCAGGTTCTGTTCTGTTTGCTTCATACTACACTGGAGCAGGTTCTGTTTCTGTTGCCTTCATACTACACTGGAGCAGGTTCTGTTCTGTTCCCTTCATACTACACTGGAGCAGGTTCTGTTCTGTTTGCTTCATACTACACTGGAGCAGGTTCTGTTTCTGTTCCCTTCATACTACACTGGAGCAGGTTCTGTTCTGTTGCCTTCATACTACACTGGAGCAGGTTCTGTTCTGTTCCCTTCATGCTACACTGTAGCAGGTTCTGTTCTGTTTGCTTCATACTACACTGGAGCAGGTTCTGTTTCTGTTGCCTTCATACTACACTGGAGCAGGTTCTGTTCTGTTCCCTTCATACTACACTGGAGCAGGTTCTGTTCTGTTTGCTTCATACTACACTGGAGCAGGTTCTGTTTCTGTTCCCTTCATACTACACTGGAGCAGGTTCTGTTCTGTTCCCTTTATACTACACTGGAGCAGGTTCTGTTCTGTTGCCTTTATACTACACTGGAGCAGGTTCTGTTTCTGTTCCCTTCATGCTACACTGGAGCAGGTAGTCCACTGCAGGCCCCAACAATCATCCCCACATCACCATACTACAGTCAACCAGGATAACAGTTGTTCAGCCAGATCTGTTTGGGTTTTATCCATGTGGTTCATTGTATTACTGCATGTGTATTGTCTTACCCTCAGAGGTCAACATTGAAGTATTGTTGTTGAGAAAACACCATTCTCCTCCATACCTTGACTTAGACACTCAAGACATTATATATACAGTGTATTCGGAAAGTATTCAGACCCCTTGACTTTTTCCACATTTTGTTACATTACAGCCTTATTCTAAAAGGGATTACATTTAATTTTCCCCTCATCAATCTACACACAATACCCCATAATGACAAAGTGAAAATAAAAAATAAAAACAGAAAAACCTTATGTACATAAATATTCAGACCCTTTGCTATGAGACTCGAAATTGAGCTCAGGTGCGTCCTGTTTCCATTGATCATCCTTGAGATGTTTCTACAACTTGATTGGAGTCCACCTGTGGTAAATTCAATTGATTGGACATGATTTGGAAAGGCACACACCTGTCTATATAAGGTCCCACAGTTGACAGTGCATGTCAGAGCAAAAACCAAGCCATGAGGTCGAAGGAATTGTCCGTAGAGCTCCGAGACAGGATTGTGTCTAGGCACAGATCTGGGGAAGGGTACCAAAACATTTCTGCAGCATTGAAGGTCCCCAAGAACACAGTGGCCTCCATCATTCTTAGATGTAAGAAGTTTGGAACCTGATGAAAACCTGCTCCAGAGCGCTCAGGACCCCAGACTGGGGTGAAGGTTCACCTTCCAACAGGACAACAGCCCTAAGCACACAGCCAAGACAATGCAGGAGTGGCTTGGGGACAAGTCTCTGAATGTCCTTGAGTGGCCCAGCCAGAGTCCGGACTTGAACCCGATCGAACATCTCTGGAGAGACCAGAAAATAGCTGTGCAGTGATGCTCCCCATCCAACCTGACATAGGATGAGAGGATCTGCAGAGAAGAATGGGATAAACTCCCCAAATACAGGTGTGCCTAGCTTGTAGCATCATACCCGAGAAGTCTCGAGGCTGTAATCGCTGCCAAAGGTGCTTCAACAAAGTACTGAGTAAAGGGTCTGAATACTTATGTAAATGTGATATTAAAGTTTTATTTTTTTATACATTTCGTTTTTTTGTCGTTATGGGGTATTGTGTGTAGATTGATGAGGAAAACAAACAATTTAATCCATTTTAGAATAAGGCTGTAATGTAACAAAATGTGGAAAATGTCAAGGGGTCTGAATACTTTCCGAATGCACTGTATATGGTGGACAAATAGAGAATCCTGAGGATGAATGGTTGAGCTCCTCTAGTTGACTCTGTGTGTGTTCAGGTGGTGGCCACCGAGCAGGACAGCCCTCCCCTGTCTGCAGCAGGCTCCGAGAAGGGACTTTACAGCTTGGAGAAGAGCCTGGCAGACTACATGCTGTCTGCTGTCATTTCTCTGCCCCGCTCAGACCAGGAGAAGAAGGTACATTACTGTAGACTACATCATGACCCTCTTTACCTATTATACTGTAAATACACTGCTAGTTGGAGTTTTCCCTTTCCCCAGTATAGGATGGTTTCATTGCTGTGCCACACAATGTACCTGTAATCTGTTACTGTGTATTTGGTCATTCTGGACCTCAAAGTTGACTTGAGTTGAGGCTAATATTTTCAGTACCGAGATTATGACCCTAACCCAGGGAACTGTGTGTGTACAAAACATTAAGAACACCTGCTCTTTCCATGACATAGACTGACCAGGTGAATCCAGCTGAAAGCTATGATCCCTTATTGATGTCACCTGTTAAATCCACTTCAATACAGTGTAGATGAAGGGGAGGAGACAGGTTAAATAATTATTTTTAAGCCTTGAGACATGTGAGACATGGATTGTGTATGTGTGCCGTTCAGAGGGTGAATGGGCAAGACAAAATATGTAAGTGCCTTTGAACAGGGTATGGTAATATGTTCCAGGCACACTGGTTTGTGTCAAGAACTGCAACGCTGCTGGGTTTTTCATGCTCAAAAGTTTCCTGTGTGTATCAAGAATGGTCCACCACCCAAAGGACATCCAGCCAACTTGACACAACTGTGGGAAGCATTGTAGTCAACATGTGCCAGCATTCCTGTGGAACGCCTTTGACACCTTGTAGAGTCCATGCCTTGACGAATTGAGGCTGTTCTGAGGGCAAAGCTGGGGGGGTGGGGGGTGCAACTCAATATTAGGAAGGTGTTCCTAATGTTTTGTCCACTCAGTGTATAGACCTGCATAACAGAGT